TAGATTCACTACAGCGTGAGTATAAGATATTACTTAGCCGAGCGATCGGGTTCGATACGTACATAGAGCGAAACGAATCTAGAATTGATATTGCGCACCATTTGCCGAGGTCAAAGGCGCGCGTGTGTGTGCATGCGTGTACAGTCTGGGAAGCTCAGTGTCATTATATATGTCATAATCAGCTTTGTACATAATATAGGCTTGACTTTCTTTCTCTAACTCAGAGCCTGTCAGGCTTTTTATCTCGTTAAAGGGGCGTCGAAAGCCAAACAAGCAACCCTCTCTTTCTCTCACACTAGTAGAGACGGGCGCGCAACAGATTATCCGTACTTTTTGTTTGATCAGCTCAAGCTTCGAATCGCAAGCGCACTCAACGTACACACACATACACATATTCCGCCAGTGCTGCGTATATCGTTTCGTGCATGCTAGGATATATTGTAACTGCAACTGCCGCCGATGACAATGACGATTTTGACTCGCATCGCAAAAGTGGGACATGCTATACGTACGTAAATCGCGCACATTAGGCATGATTATCGTCGTTTTATGCTTGGGTGTTTCGCCTAATAAGCGCGCTATACAATCTGCTCGTGTCTGTGTGCGTGTGTCGCAGATACGCAGGAAAAAATCGATTCTCCTTTTTTATTTTATGAATTACGATGAGGCATAATAACTTTCATATTATGTATGTGAACGCACAAAGTATTATACGCGTGCGGCCTTAGAGAAAATAACAAGCGTCGATCGCGCATTATCTCGGCAAAAGAGGCGATCATTTAATTAGAGTTCAATACGGCGGCGCTGGTGACCACGGTACAGGTATTTATATGAATTATTGAAGATGTATATCGAAGGTTGGATAAATTACAGTGGCCCCGTATAACTTGGTTCTCGTAATATAGCTCAATTAACGACAGTGACTTATTGAATAGCTCTGATGTGTATACATAAATTATATACAGGCAGAGCTTCGAATCACGGAGCTGTCTACATAAAAGCTTTTACAAAGGAGTAGTGCGAGAGTACAAAAAGATACATCAAGCGCGCGCGCACACACACACACACACACAAACATATACACAAGCACGCCTGAGGATCGTCTTTATCATGGGAAATTATAAGCTCTCTTTCTGGAGCGTCGCGACGATCAAAAAGATTCCTTTACTTGATTTTTTTCCTCTTTATTTATTTGCGTCAAGGTCCCGAAAAGTCATCGCCTGCGTATAAACTTATACGACGTAACGTCATAATCTCTCTCTTGTGTGCCAGCGAGCGACTTTTTCTGAAGGCGCGAGCAAAAATTGTCTCGTCAGAAAGTGTTTGCGGCATTATATACACATATAAATGCTGTTACACGATGCAGCCCAGGCCAAGCCAGCCTGCAGGTACGTGTATACGACAGTCCCTTTACGTGCGTGTATACGCGGCCTGGCGGCATACAAATCTAATCCCCGAGATCTAAACGGTTGCCAATCATTTCCGGTTCTCTCGGATTAGCCGCCAGGGAGCCGCTCGCGAGCTGCGCAGAAATGTGCCTTGGTTTGTGTGCCTATGCTTATGTACATCTAAGCCGATTATGCTTTCGCGTACATGCATTCGAGTGAGAGAAAAATATGTGTACGCGCGTCTTCTTTGATTTGAATTTTCATGCTTTTTGACTTTTGTGTCTTTCTCTTTGACAGAATGCGCGTATATGTACACACCAAAGAATACCTATATATTGGATTTTTCGTTCGAGCGCCCACTGTACGTCTGATTTGATGAAAGCTAACGCCTTAATATGACCCCTAGTGACAATGAAATTTTCCACTTTGATCGCTTTCATTATATGAATATTTAACTTTGACGCTACGTCCGATGCTCAAACATCGCTCATTGTTGCGGATAATTATCCACGCCTTCATCCCAGAGCTCAAAATCTCCGCACAACATTTATACGAAACCTTGGTGTCATTAACTATTTAGTCTGAAAAGTAACACTTGATCGTAATACCTATCACTTAATGATCAACCATATCCATATTCATTAGACATCCGCAACACAACCAAATACAATTAAAAAATCGGGATTCATCCACGATTGTAGCAAGTGTAATACGAACTGAGTGGTGATTAATACGATATTTTTCTTTCAAGTATTCGTTCAATGATGTAGCGGTTTATACTTATCGCTATAAGTTTACAGACTAATTGAAGTGACACATCCAGTACTCGAATCAAGCAGTAGTGATGACGAAAATAAATGATTAGCCCGCAGGTTCGTGGTTTAATTATTTGAATGCTTATAATACGAGGCAAATGCTTTGCATCAAGCGGTATTGGCATTATAGCATGGACTGCTTCCGGCCGATTGATGAGCCTTGTACACCGGGCAAAAATGTATATCCAAAGGCCTAATGAAGACGATTGTTCGGGGCTCATAATGCGCTCGAGCTGTTGATGTTTTAGATCGTGCTAGTGATAATTTCATCGCCCTCGATGCGTGCGTGCAGTCGCTCGTCGGTGTTTCTTCTTTCGTTTTACACTGTTGCAAGTTCCTACGTTTCGCTTTATTTTCTTTTTTTTTCCATATCAGCTTTGGAGCAAGGTCATTAGCGACACATGCATACACTTACACATACACTCGGGCCGACGACAAGTACATAGTAATGGCTCGATGTGTATAATCATCGCATATATGCAGCAGCAGTGGCAGGTAGAGTGCGCGCCCCCGCTCGCGCGCGCGAGCGAGTACACACACGCACACATAGACATGCAGTGCAGCGCATGCACACCCACATACACACACATACGTACAGGACGGGCTGTCTTCGTTAAAACAGGAAAATTGCGGGTTACGCCGGCATGCGCACACACGTGGAAACGAGAAAATTCACGAGAACGCGACGCGACGCTGCAGCCGTCTATGTAATATAACAATGATTTCGTGATGTATGATTTATACCATTATCATTATTTTTTTGTTTCTGCAATAAACGAGCGCTTTTATATGCCCGCGCGACGTTCGTTCCTCGAGTCGCGTCCATGTCATTACGTCGTTAGAAAAGAGACGTTGTTTTTTCTACCACGTCTGCTCGTTTTGACGTACTGACTACGCTTCGATCATTACCGCGCTTATATACTGATTTTTATCAAGAGTCCTCCCCGAATATTGCGCAACGATTCGCAAAATGTATAAATGTACAATCCTTACCTGCCTATTGCCTGCGTAGCTATAATTATGAGTGTTGCCGAGCAACCGAGCAAAAGAAAAGGGAACAAGTTAAAAGTAGGAGGAAGAAGAAGAAAGATCCTTTACCGCGTTAAAAATTAGCGTCAAAAAGTTTAAGGACAATATTGTCTCGAGAGAAGTTCTCTTTGTGCGGTTCTTTGCATTTCTACGATTCTTATGTATAGCAGCTAGTGGTGATGCGCCTCGACACCCATTAACTCGTACTAATAAAAGCGCGCCTCGTGCCCGTTGTTATACACTCTTTAATCATCTCTTCGTATGCCGAAATGCGCTACGTGCTCTCGGCTCTTCGACCTCTCTCTCTCTCTCTATGTGGGTTTGTACGCAGCAGTACTTTTGGCGCCAGGTATATGTGATTGAGCAGAGAGAGAGAAGGACAGCGAGAAAGAGAGGCACCCCTGTAATTAAAGACGAGCATATAAATAAGAATCGTTTCAGGGAATTATTCAGTTCGCCGATTTCGTAGACTCGATGTTCCCTAAGTGTGGAATTAATATATTTATGAGCAGTTCCTCTGATCGCACATCCGGCATTCTAGGACTCAACGAGCAAATTCTACGCGTGCGCATGTGTGTGTGTGTGTGTGTGTATTTTTCAAACTGTGTGTCGTTGACACCCTGACGCGTGCAAGGCAATTCGACAATTATATTGTTCGAAATCCTCCGTCGGCACATTTAGGAGGACTTATTCTGACTCGCGCGATGGCCTTCTTTTTTTTCGATGCCTGCTGTACAAAGGCAACATCAATTTCTCAACTATTTTTCTATTCCGTTGTATGTGAGGGGTCAATGATTTCAATGCCTGGTCTTTACCCTTTCTATCAATTTTTCAATGGAAGTTATTTCTCAAAAATTTTATACGTACTATTTCAGAAATCAAATTCTACAAACAATTTTTAAGTCATAATCTATTTTTTCATTATCGACAATGATAGTACATATTCTCTATTCAAATTCAAATTACTTAAATCTTCCTCTAATAAATTTATAATTCTTGACTATAAACAAAAAACCAAAATAATAAAAAAAATATAACCATTTATGGGACAGCACTCAGAAGATTTTTTTCCTATATAATAAAAATAAAACTTAAAATTTGCTGGGCTGAATGGCTTCATGTACTAGCACACGCAATATTGTTTATTTCAAATTATTCAAGTCCTCAAAATTTATAATATAAGAGGTCAAAGTTTTAATAAAAACAAAAACGTTCAAACGAGCTTTTTATAAAATATATTTTTCTCAATCATTGTGTAGATATATCAAGCTAAACGAAGTGGCTATTCATAAACTTTCATGAGTTACATCCGTTATTAGACTAATTTTTCTGCACCGATTTATTTTTTAATATCTTTGTATACATTGAAGCAGGGTTGTGCGACTTATAGATAATGTTTACAATTTTTATAGTTCAATTTATAATACAAAACATTATAACTTGATCAAGTTACAGCTCATCCAGCCCATGAAATTCAGTTTTTATTCAGGAGTGCGCTTTTCATCCCACCCGGGTACATGTGACCGATTATTTCTAGTTTCTAGTCATTCATTGAATCCACTGTATATCCAAACATAATCCAATGAAAGTTGACGAATTCTTATGTTTTTTCAAAAGTCCTGCAGAGATAATTTTAAAAAAGGGGGTCTGTTTGTCGTGCAAAATAACCTTGGATATTATTGTGTTCGAATAGACATAAATGGGATATTTTGAACTGCAAATATAGAGGATATAGAGAGAAATGCAATAACCATGAAAATGTACTCACCGTTTGACGATACTGATACAGCGTCGTGATGACTCGCATCACTATCCTCGTCCATATTACTGCTGTTATTGTTAAGTGACAATCGGCTCTGATGTCTGACACTTAAATCTCTAGGCGTGGACGGCGGACTGCCCGGAGGGTCCTGACTCGACGGCGGACTCGACGCACCCGCGAGTATGTCCGTTATCATGAACTTGGATCTGTGCGGCATCGTGATCTGAGCCGATGATTCGCCAGCTACACTGGAGTTATTTATGCTGTTGCCGTTGTTAGTATTATTGTTATTGGGGCTGGACAAAACGACGCTGGGCCCGTGCAAGTTCAGACCGAGAACCTGAAGCTGGTTGGCGGCGCCGTTGCTCAAGTGATGATGCATGTGCATGTGATGATGCGGATGATGGGGATGGTGGGAATGGGGGTGCTGCTGGTGAAGCATGTGATGAGCCAGATGCGACTCGACGTTGACACGGGACAAGTTGAGGCCGTTGGGGCCGGCGGCGCTCAGGGCGGCAACCTCGTGCTGGCCCTGTCGCTGCTGGTGATGGACCGTCATGACTCGGCGCAGGTCCTCCTCGTCGTCCTCCTCGTCGGACGTATTGTTGGTGCCGACTGACAGGCTGGGAGCCGTGGCTGGGCCTCCTCGGCTTAATTGGCACTGCAGCCTCGGCGACAGAATGTTGATGGATTGCAGCTCGCGCGTGATAAGACACACTGCCTCTACGCACGCACACACGTTTCCGCCTTTACTAACACAAACTCATTCACAAATAGCACATCGACTTGATGATACGGTCTATTTATACCACTAGCAAATTAATCGCGAATGGCGTCCCCACCTTTTCGACAGTTTATGCATTTAACCATAAATCGATACTTTCTAAAAATTATCACCGATAAATTATCAGGTATCTGATACAATACAAGTCTTTCGTCGAACAGCACTAAAAATAAACAACATGTAATATGACACCTCGTCTTAATTACACACGTATAATCGACCAACAGTTCACACAGACTCTCAACTATGACACTAACATTTAAACATGCTGTTTATGGATGATAAAAAAAAGCGCTTGGGCTGCTGCGCGCACAATAGCACTGTGTATAGGAAGGATCGACGCTGGCACGAGGACTGCCTATCGCAGACTGACACGAGATCGCAGGAGCAAGGTTCGCGTTGGAGAGCTCGAGCGTCTGCGGCTTTGCCCCCTTTTTCGCGAGAGGCATTTTGCACGGACTTCCAGCGGGCTGCTGCCGAGTCCCCCCCACCTCGAGCGGTCGCGTCCAAGCCACGCCCACTGCTACCAATAGCCGCGTCGAGCAACGCCAATGGGCCTCCGCCTCGACACCACGCCTCGCTGCTGCTGCTGCTGCTCTCTATCTCGACATTCTCCGCACGCCAATTCTCTCTGTCTCTGCTGCTGCTCCGTGTATACGCGCAAGGGAAGGAGGTAATTCGATATAAAATTGCAGTTAATGCCTTTCATTAGACTGACTCTCTCGCCAAGCTCACTGTGTTCGTCTGCGTACGTGTGTGTGTGTGTGTGTGTGTGCGCGCGTGTAAGTACGAATGAAAAGAGGTGGAAATAAAAAGAAACTTTGTTCTGTATGGGTGGTAGAAGGGTGTACGTATACTATACACATAGCACACTCACGAGTCTTTATAACGAATGTGTGTGCGAGAGAAAGAGAGAGCGAAATTTCGAAGCTGTACTCGAGCTTTTATCGACGTTCACGTTAGAAAGAAAGAGCGAGCTGAGAGGATCGATCGATCTTGACTCTTGAGATTCTTTTTTGTTTTGATTCGATTTGAAGTCGACTTACCCCCGTTAAGAGCTATTGTACGTTTCTTCTTTTTTTCTCTCTTTCTTTTCCTTCTCTTTTTTTTCATCGACACTACCATATCGATAATGGATAATACACGGGAGTACGTGTTTGTGGTTTGTACTGCGAATGAATAGATATTGTGTAAAAGATGGTGCATAGCTTGTGGGTTTACGGGGCCGATTTCGACCATATGCGATGAATCGAGTCCACTACCGATGATAATGTAACATTGTTTCTGTTTCTTTTTTTTTACCCTTTTGATGCTGCTTCCAGATACAGCCGTGCATTGTCAAATAAAATAATATATAGTTACCAATTTTTCTCTTCCCCTCTCTTTGTTGCACAGACAATCGTGAGTTATCAACAAAATTGACTCGGCTAATAGTGCTGGCGCGTCGACAAGCACCATATGATATTATTTTTGTAAAAGCACCCCTAATTCGTAATTTTGTTTGTCGACTGTAAGTTAAATAATGATTATTTACAAGTGAATTATCGTACTTTTATTGACCATCGGTTGACGTCGTTATTCCATAAGCTTAACTATACATTCTATTCTGTTTCTTCGCAAAAAAAGAAATCAATTATACCGTCGACTGCGCGTCGACGTCAAAGTCAACGAACATTTTATGATAGACGTTATTAGCGCGTCGAAGAGCTCACCCGATACACATTTACAATCCGCGTCGTTATTATAATGTGCACATAGGCCGCGCGGCGTGCAGTCGTCGAAAATGTCGTCCGAAGCCCGATCTTTTCTTCGTGCTCATCGAGCAGTAATGGCAAGGTTTCTCTCTCTCTCTCAGCTTGCGCGCGTTCTGCGTTTAAATACGCATCGCGTGCACACACATGCACACATCCATCATTCTAAATATATAGGTATATACATTTTGCATGCGTGTGTGAGTGTGCGTACGCGCTGCAAGGCCAATGGCGCCGCCGGGCAATTGTGCGCACTGCCGTGTGCGCAAAGTTGACTCTCCAAAGTCTGCCTTGCAAAATTAGAGTAAAGCGCGCTCGAGCCGAGTCGCATATTCCCGAAAAGAAATTAAATTAGGTCGAATATACGTGTACGCATAAAGGCGTGCGCGTGCTCACGAACACGAGAATTGGATGCGAATTTACGGAAATTAGGGCTGGCGACATCATTTAATTTGTAGTACCGTCTGCTAATGTAAAATACATATAAGGACGATCCGTTTGTATAGATACCGTGCGCAGCGGTGAATGCGGAAGGGAGGTGTGCTGAGTATGTATGTGCGCCCGTGTACTATTCATTGTACAGTGTGTGAGCATATGGTGTTGTATATGCGCTTGTGTGCGAAATAAAATAGACATTATGCTGCACTCGCGCATTATCATGAAAATGTATCTCTTTTAACACTTCTCAGTCCATTATACGAAGAACTCGAAGTAAACTCGAGACTGGATCGTTGTGGCTGATGGGCGCGCGCGCGCGTGCCATTCAAGAGAAATCAACCCGACGAATTTGATTAGTTAAAAAATTCAATCGAGGCTTTCACTTTTTTTACTTTTTCATTTCATAATTTCACACGTCAAAGAGTATCATATCTACTTAATTTGAATTTCATTTACACACTGAATGGTCACAGTACACGATAGTGGCAAAATATTAAAAATAATGTCTGTATGATAATTTAACACAAAACTAACATATTTTAATCAATTGAAAACTTTAATTTCAATTACTTTTATTTTTTGTTCAGTAATTACAAATAAAAGTACACAACTATGTGCTTGCGCCATACCTTGTCTGAAGATAGCATTATCGACACTCAATTAGGAGTTAGCTGCTGGGAGCCAAATTACGATAGAATACCGAAAATGTTCAAATCAAAAATGTGCACCAATCACGTGACGCAATCAGTAAGAAACAACCTAGAAACTAGAGAGTTTGACACGTGAAAAAATTTCTTTTTAACCAGAAATTTTTCATCGTTGATCTTATCCATGATACGAATTGCCATTTTTTACAGGTGTACTCTTTTCAACCTGTATTTATTAATTCATAAGTCTTATAATGCGTCGCGCTCAAGTGGGTTTCCTATGAAACGATTAATTAATACACAATATATAAATATATGTTAATCTGTCAAAACCACAAGGTAATATTCAGGCCTCTAAACGTATATTAACTACATTAAGATATCTGTCTTAGCGAGCTATTCATACAACCACAATTCAACTCGCTAATTAAATCGTTTACCGAGTTAATCGCTATTACACGGATTTGCGCAAATAATTTTCAGCATTTTGTTTGCCTTTTGCTCTCAAAATACGCATTATGTCTTGATTGCAATTTTTTACTCCAATCTTCATTACACGCAATGTTGACTCTTGGCGTGCATGCGAAAAACAACGGACCACGCGATTTGGCGGTATAAAAAAAAAAAACACTCATGCACACAAACACACACAAACAACGACCTCGAGCTTGACTAATAAATATAAAAGCTGTGCATAGCGTGCGCCGGACGCTTTGCTTTTTTTCCTTTAATGAAACTTATCTATGCGCGTTACGATACACGGCGCACTGCTACTAAGAGAAAAAAAAGTTCGCATTTAACGATTATGGCACTTTAAGCATTTATCAAGAATTAAGACTTAATTGTAGGAAGCAACTATATAGCTCGTCGAAGACGCCAAGGAGAATCTGCTCTGGCGCGAGCATATTGAAAAGAGAGAGCTATGCACTGAGCACTGAGAAAAATCGACGACTTAAAGTGTTACATAAATTTATAATACGAAAAAAATAACATACCCACATACACGGGCTCGTGTTATTATAAACTATTATTCGTTGCGTGTATACGATCTTCGTTTGTATAGGAGTTTGCTCGGGCGCGCGCGACCGAGCGCGAGTTTAAACGGGGGAAAAAAGGAAACGCCACGAGTTTCCACTTTCGTTGAATGCTAGCTCGAGCCCATTATATACACGGACCACTTCATGGGATTATCATTTTACGTAAGAGCCTCTAACTCTTTTCATGTTTATTCGCGACGCAATGATGATGAATGGGTTTTCTTTTCTCAATATCAATCCATTTTGCAGTATTTCGTGGCATTATGGAATTATGCGCGCCTTTATGTAATCATTTTAATAAATCTAGACGAGCAAATTATTTTTTAACTGCAGTTTCGGAATTCGTATCATGTTCCTCGTTAACACGCCAAAAGACAATTGCAAATGAATTCTAATTTGCGTATAAATTCCAAGGTTCAATTAGGATTAAGCTGAAGCGCGTCTATGCAATTGTAAGGTAAAAAATAAAACACTTAATTTTCTCATTGAATCCAGTCGAAGCAGCGTCGGTATGATATAAGCGTGCTCTCGATCTGCCGGAGACATTGCAGGAAAAACCTCGTTCTTAACTATTTTCTCATAAACGTATTTTTACGTACGTGTATATGAGTGCGCGATGCGAGTGAGTAACAGCAAAAGCACAGCTGAGCGTGTCGAATGCATATTCATATGCTTAAGGATACACGTATATACAGTGCACAGAGGTGAGCTCGAGTCGAGTCTGATCTTAGATTAAGGTAAACGCCGGTTAAGTTAACGGCTAAGAAGCTCGAGTGCAGCTCGGCGCTCTGTGTATGCACTTTACACACAAGCCTTTTTTGCCTCGTGCGAGCATTTAAGCAGCGCGCCTTATAAGCCGCGAGTGCATGCGGCCCTAGTTTACTATTACCACGCGCGTGACGCACTTTGACCGCGCGCGAGACCAATGTATAGAGAGCAGGTGAAAAGTAGCTCGTTCCAGCTCGATTGTGCGCTGTAAACGTGACATTAGTCACGTGCGCATATCATTTATCGGTATCGATCTTTTTGCATTAGATTTCGAGGCTCTGGATTGTATCAATTAAATGCATTAAATTAGCAATTAAATTCATGATATAATTGTTTCAATACGATAAGAGATGTTCATTAATTGATAATCTTCAAAAAATCTCCCCCTCAAACATATATTAATGGTTTTCATTGAATTTTCTTTGTAATTAGCTTACAGTATTACAGTATTGCTGGTATTAGTATTTAAAGTATTACTAAATCAAATGAGACAAAAACTGATACAAATATTATCATGATTAAGTTGATGTTTTTATTTTCCAAGACGTGCGCAATTCCAGCTTGATGCTGCTACCCATTGAGCATTTTCGCATTGTCTTGTTTTTTTTTCGCGCAAAATACTCATAATCTTGCACAACTCATGCTTCGGCGCGTCGCTCCCGCGTGCAAGCCTAATTAAAAATATAACACGGCAACTTAATTGCT